ACCTGTGATTGTAATCCTAAATGTTCTTGTATTGCTCTTGACAAGTCAAGGATTTCTTGAAGAATGATCATGTTATTTGTTTTTTAAGAGGTTTAAATGATAATTTTACAATTGTTAAATCCCGGATTATGTTGATAGATCTCTTACCCTTTATGAATCATGTGTTTGTTCTTATTGTTCAATATGAGAGACAATTTGGTGTTCCTCATGTTTCTTTCGAATCTAGTTTTACTTCTACTATGTTCTACGAGTAAGGAGCTTCCTTATTCGGACCTCATAAGTTTGGTGCTTATGGTTCTAGCCATTATTCTTTTGGATCCCACCCCGGTTTTGTTATATCTCCCTTTTCCGGCTTAGATTCTACTTGTATTTCTAGTCCCGGTTCTAGTTCTAGTAACGAGTTCTCGTTTTTTAAGTAAGCGGCATGTTTATATTTTTTATGGTGGAGCAAGCCATATTGTGGATCGTTGTTCGAAGAAGCATGGATTCCCACTCGGATTTAAGAGCATTGAATAAGGATTTTCAACCATTGCTAATCAAGTACAACATCCCATCCCTCTTTTAATGTTGATTCTCTTTATTCTCAAAGAATTGCCTTACTCGATCTCGATAGTCATGGTGACCCCTAGCATAATTCTTTTACCCTTACTCTGGACCAATAAATGAGTTTGACGTCTCTTTTACCTTATCAATCCCCCAATTCTTTTTCACCTAATGATAACATTTCTTTTGTCAACTCTATTAATAGCATTTCTACATATTTTTCAGCCACATAAAATTTTATAGGTAATCATTTTTCCTCTTGCAATTCGATATATAAAATTAATGCACCTATTTGGATACTTGACACTAGTGTTACATATCACATCATCTATTCGTTTTTCTATTTTTTTTCATATCACAATATTACACACACATTTGTCAAACTGCCTAATAATCAATAAGTTCTAGTTACTTATAAAGGCACTCGTAACTTTTTCTTATTCTCTTGTTTTGACAAATGCTCTGTTTGTTCTGCTTTCTCTTTTAATATGATATTTGCTAGTAAGTGGACAAAATCTTCAAACCATTTGTTTTTCTCTTCTTCGTCTTATGTTATTTAGGACCTTTACTTCAAGAGGATGATTGGTTTAGTCGAGGAGAGGTATGGTTTATACTTGCTGAAACAACCTTTTATTCCTTTTATCAACACACCTCAAAATTGTTCAACTATTTCTCATGGTTCGATGTTTTGTGACATTAAAAATTAAGCCACTTATCTAACTCTAGATTAAAACTTTTACATACTTTTCATTCAGCCACTCCATGTAATGTGACTATGCAATATTATGAAATTTATCATTATGCTAAGTTAAAAAAAGGTTGTCCTTTTCGGATAATCGTTCTTTTACTACTTAATGTTTCTAGTTAGTTCATATGGATATATGATGACCTATGTTTACTCCTTCCATCTATGGTTATTTATATTTTATCACCATTATGGATGATTTTAGTAGAGCCATATGGGTTTATTTCATGAAAAACAAATCTAAGGTCGAATTTTAATAGAACAATTTTGTGTTCTTATGGAGACTCGGTTTAACACTAAAATTCAAACTCACGGAATTGATAATGGTCGGGAGTTCAACATGCCTCATTTCTTTGCTTCTAGAGGCATCCTTCACCAAAATGTTTGCATCAAATACCTCGAAAAGAATAGCATTATAGAGAGGAAACACCGATACATCCTTAATGAGGCAAGAGCATTAATGTTACAAGCTCATTTACCCTGGTTTTTTTGGGTAGATTGCATTATGCATGTAGTTCATCTTATCAATAAACTTCCTTCACCTTTCATTGATAATAAAACACCTTTTGAATTTCTTTTCATAAACTTTCTTCTTATAACAATTTGAGAGTTTTTAGCTGCTTATGTTATTCTATTTTCATTGGCTATAAACTTAAACTTGATTTTAGAGTCGATCAATGCATCTTTCTTGGCTATAATCCCGGAACTAAGGGATATAGATTATACAATCCGAAAACTAAATAGTTTTTAGTTTTCAAGGATGTGTTCTTTCATGAGACATGTTTTCTTTTTCTACAATTCCTACATAATCTTGCTCCTCAAACACTCCAATTGTCATTCTCCCAATACATACTTCCCATGATTCTAATGATGTTGCCTTACCTATATCTTCGACTTTTGTTCTTATAATAAATTCTGCAAGTATTCCCTCTTTTCTCCTTCTATTATTTCTATTTTCCTCCATTCTGGAGATTAATTAGACATAAAACTCTACCCACTTACCTTTAAGATTATCACTGTTCCTTTGGACCATGTCTCTTCTAAATTATGTTACATCATCTTCTCTAGAAGGTTCTACTCCTCTTTTATTAGGTACTCCACATTCTATTTCTTCGTTTTATCTTATGGTCATTAGTCACCTTCATATAAATTTTTTTCCATTAACAACACTATCACTATTGAACCTAAAACTTATTAAGAAGTTGTTAAACATTCATGTTGGAGAAATGCTATTTTTGTTGAGATTAAGGCATTGTAGGATAGTAAGACATGAGAATTGGTTACTTTGCCCCCTCTTAAATACCCCATTAGTCGTAAATGGGTTTTCAAGATTAAACATAGAATAGATGAATCTATTGAGAGGTACAAAGCGGACTAATTGCTAAAGGTTACACATAGCAAATGGGGTGGATTTTATAGATACTTTTTCTTCCGTAGCTAAAATGAACACCGTGAGAACTTTGTTAGCTATTGCTACAAGAAAAATTGGTATTTAAAATAGCTTGACATCAATAATGCATTTTTACATAGTGACCTTGATGAAGAAGTATATAGGTAGTTGCCATATGGATTTGATAACCTTTCTCCTAACGTAGTTTATAAACCGCTCAAATCTCTTTATGGCTTAAAATAAGCTCGATAAGCAATGGTATATAAAGCTCTCCATTGCTCTTTTTGCTCATGGTTTTCACCAAATAGATTCGAGACCCTTCTTTATTTACCAAACTTGTTGGTATTAGCTTCATTGTTTTATTAATTTATGTTGATGATATGATCTTGGCTGATCATGATCTTATACAAATTAAATCAGTCAAATAATATCTTCATGCAGACATTCCAAATTAAGGACTTAAGAGATTTTAAATTCTTTTTAGGGCTTGAGGTTGTCGAGTCCGTAGTAAGTATTAACTTGAATTAGAGAAAATATGCCTTGGATATGTTTCAAAACTATGGTTTTCTAGGCAACAAGTCCGTTTAGTCTCTTATGGTCGATTCAACTTTCAATAATGACACTCAAAGCCCTCCATCTGTTAGATTCTACTTATTATAGAAAGCCGATTGGGAAGCTTTTATATTTAACCACCATCGGACCTTTATTGTGCGACGAGTTGTCCCAATTTCTTGATAAGCACATTGAAACACATCTTCAAGTAGCTCATCGTACTTTGAGATACATTACGGCCTTTCTTGGTCGGGGTTTGTTCTTGGCTGCGGACTCTTTCTTCAAACTTAAGGCCTTTTTTTAACGCAGATTGGTTAACTTCTCAAGTTACTAGAAAGTCTATCACAATATTTTATGTCTTCCTTGATTTCATGAAAATAAAAAAAGCAACAAATAATATCTCATTCTTCTTCGGAGGCAAAATTTTGTGCTCCGGCAGCTCTAATATGTGAGATTTAGTGGCTCGTGTTCTTATTAGCGGACTTATAGATTCCTCATCTTGATCCCATTGTGTTTTTTTGTGACAATTGCTCTGTTTTGCACATTGCTCATAATCTTATTTTTCATGAGCATACTAAACACATTAAACTTGATTGTCACATTGTTTATAAAAAATTACAGGTAGGTCTGGTTCATCTACTTCCTGTTTCTTCCTCCAACCAATTGATAGACTATTTTACAAAGCCTCTTCGTCCTATTACCTTTCAAGCTAACATTCTCAAGCTGGGCATCCTTGACATTTATGCTCTAGCTTGAGAGGAGTATTAGACTAGTATTTTTTATTGTGTTTTTTCTTTTTTGTTTTATCTATTTCTTTTTTTTCCTTCTTCTCCTTGGTTGGTTATATTTTTTCGTTTTTCTCCTCAGTCTGTTTTGCCAGCTGTGATTAGATTAATGGATCTTGTCTTTTTGTTCCTTGTATATATACTTGTAATTACAAAGAAGAGGGATAAACATCATTATTCAGATTTTTCAAATTCTCTATTATGTACTACATACATGGAGATTAATATAACTTTATAAATAAATGAGCACTACAGTGTAGAGTAGCTGCCTATGGATGAAGTTTATGATTTCTTAAATGGCTTTAAATCGTAGTTTGGTTGTGGATGCGGGTCACAATGCAACGAGATATCATGATATTTATTTATTTATATAAAACCATAAATTATGAAAAATTGATCATAAGACTTGAAAAGAAAGTGAAAAATTTACCCACTAGCCGCAGCAGCAGCAGCAGCAGAACGACCGCGACAGGACGGACCTTAATTGCTAAAACAACCCAGAAATGACCCCTCCCCTGTCCCATCAATATTATCATTCATTCTAGCATTAAAAATAAAATAAAATAAATAAGCGAATAGGTTCTATATTTACAAATAAGGATGTCTTTTATTGCTCTCACGCATTATCCAACTGTTTTCCCCTTCCCCCCGTCTCTCTCTATCTCTGTTTCTGTCTTCCCCTCGCTTGCTCCAATTCAACGTTTTTTTGAATTGAATCAACCAAAAATCCTCTCAAATTTATCCAAAATTCCCTCACTATTTACCGATCTGAACCCTAAATAATCTCTAACTTCCCAAAATCCCTCTTTCTCCTTCAAAATTCTAGGGTTTACGTTAACAGATCTAGCCTCCTCAAAATCCACTCCAATTTTACGACTTCGCTGCTGGAAATGTTTAATTTAAGCTTCTTAGCTTCAGAATTTAGCAGTAGAGACTGTGATTAGGGTTGTGTTAGTGAGTGGCTCAGTTTCTGTTTTCAATTGTAATGGCTGCTTTGCAACGAGTAGCGTCGAGCTTGAGCACGAGCGCGAGCAGTTATGGATCATGTAAAGGTTCAGGTGCAGATGTAATGGTATCCGATCAGTTCCCCGCTGGTTTGCGGGTTCTGGTGGTGGATGATGACATCACTTGCTTGAGATTGCTCGAGAAAATGCTTCGCCGCTGCCTTTATCATGGTTAGTTTACCATGTTTCCTTTTTTTTTTTTTTATTGCTCAACTTGAACAGAGATGGGCGTAGAAGGGGTTAAAATGGGTTTATCTAGGGTTCCTTTTCGTTTCATGTTCATGTCTGGTGAGAATGTGAGTTAAATTTGGATGGAAGTTGGGTAGTTGTTGATAGAAATAGAATGGTAGAGCAAATTGTAAGCTACCTTGCCCGTAACTTTACTACAACCGGTCAAACATTCAATCATAATTGAAAAATGAAAAAAGTTTAGTTCCCGAAAGTTGAAAACAGAGGTAACCCAAAAGCACCTTCATTGGACCAGTAAGTACTAAGAAAAGAAATGATACCCTAATCAATCCATTTTGTTTATTGATTCTTCAATCTCAATGAAACAAATTTGTCTGATGTCCGCATCAAATGCAGTTGTGGTTTTTCTTTTCCAATTTAAGCCTAATTGATTAAAATTTGAAAGACACTAGTATACACACTCAAAACCCAAGTTTCCTGCTGCACAGTTAGTCTCTGCAATTTCAAACTGATTTCAGTATGTTATCAAATTCATACAGTAAAAGCGACCCCTATGCATGCTTGAAACAATACCTAGCATTAGTGTTGCAACCCTAATCAGAGATGACAGAAAATGAAGATTAGAGCTCAGCAGCAATTGCAAGATCATAACCAACTAATTCAGGAAAAAAAATATAGATTACTCAGTTAGAGACATGGTTAGACCATAGACAAGGACTCCAACCACCTCCACAGAAACCATATGTCCATTTTTTTTTTTTTTCGCATCAATGCAACAAGGGCCCATGAGATTGTACTCTGATGCTGCCTTTTTTAAATCCATATTACGCAATACCATAATTCTCTTGAAATTGTGAATAAATCTCAACGAAAGCTCCACAGGGAAACCTGTTTATCCAAGTAACACAACACAAAAGAGGTCCTGTGAAAGCAGAAGAGCATGAGATCTAATTGTTGCTCCACAAGTATTGATACATAATGGCACAAATCTCAATTCGTAGTATCATATTTAACGACCACCCCCATATGGATTTTCAAGAAAACAGAAGAATGAGAACTGAAAACACTACAATTTAAAAGGTTTTGTAGAAGTACTTGTAGAATGAAGAACTAAAATGCATATTTGACAACTAGATGCTGTTTTTTAGATTTGAATCACATAATCAATATGGAGAGAGGGTTCTGCAGAGAGGGAGGTATTAGGGGAGAGTGAGAGATGAGTGTCCTTTTTTCCAGTAAATAAAGTAATTAATGGACAAACCAGTTTACATTGTTCCGTTTCAGGATTACTTGCTATGTGCTCTATCATGGAGAGTGAGTGTTACTAGGCTGTCTAGATGACTGCAACTAGCATTCCTCTTCATGTAAAAGATAAAAGTTTGTTTCATTCTCCTAGATGTTTTCGAAAAATTTATCCTGTCGTACCTATCAAAACTATTTTCTTTTTATTCGTTGGCTGCAGTTACCACTTGCTCCCGTGCCACAGCTGCTTTGGAACTTCTGAGGGAAAGGAAAGGCTGTTTTGATGTGGTACTAAGTGACGTTCACATGCCTGATATGGATGGATTTAAACTTCTTGAACATGTTGGGTTGGAAATGGACCTTCCAGTTATTAGTGAGTGCTTTAGCCTTTTTTTTTTTATCCTTCCTTTTTTTAGCAGTAAGGATCTCTAAGTTGTGTTTCAAAGTGTTGACATGATAATCTGTGCTGCAGTGATGTCTGCTGATGGGAGAACGAGTGCTGTAATGAGAGGAATCAGACATGGAGCTTGTGATTATTTGATTAAACCTATACGTGAAGAAGAGCTCAAGAATATATGGCAACATGTTATTAGGAAAAAGTGGAATGAAAACAAAGAACAAGACCATTCTGGAAGCTTTGAGGATAATGATCGGCATAAACGAGGGAATGATGATGCTGAAAATGCATCTTCTGTTAATGAAGGGGCCGAAGGAGTTTTTAAAGGCCAAAAAAGAGGAGCATTGCTAAAGAAGACGATGATACTGATCTGGAAAATGATGATCCATCTGCATCAAAGAAACCACGTGTTGTGTGGTCAGTGGAGCTCCATCAGCAATTTGTCAGTGCTGTAAACCAGCTTGGAATTGATAGTACGATCTTCAATGATCCTATCCTTTTGATTGTTTGTGTTTTTCTGTTTAAGGAAATAAATTATATGCATACACACACACACACACATGTTTGTGTGTGTGTGTGTGTGTATATATATATTAAAAGAAAGATTAAATAGCAAGACTAACTAGGAAGCAAACGAGGGGAAACATTGCTACTTAAATCTCCTGATAACAAGTTAAGACACCCACACACAGGGGACGCTATGGTTGAAAGACCCAAGATAAGACATAATCTGCCAACCAATCAGCAATAGAATTGGCCATGAGATACACTTGATGAACTTTTAAACTACCCAATCTTGAGGTAGAAGGCCACAAATTTGTTGAATAAGAGGGCAGTTATCATTAACAGCCATTCTAGTAGCAAAAATTAGATGTATATCATGCCTCGGGGTTGGGGCTTGTAAATGGTTTAATTTCATTTCAGAAGCTAAGTTTGAGTGGTCATTGTATCTTTTGCTCAATGCAACTTTTTGGCTGCCATTTCAGAGGCTGTGCCTAAGCGAATCCTCGAGTTGATGAATGTGCCTGGTTTAACTAGAGAAAATGTTGCAAGTCATTTGCAGGTTTGGTTTTTTCCTACATCTCAATTTTCCATCATTCCTTGTGTTTCTTCCTTTTCTTTTTCTTTTTAAAATTTTTGTTGTTTTAAGGCTGCTCCCTCTGGGTTTTCTCGTGCAAGCATTTCCTGTTATTAAACTTGTATGCTTGGCGCTTTAAAGGATGTCTTGTCTTATTTATCTTCTTATGTTGCTACTAAAGCTGTTATACACATCATATGACAGGACAACCAAAGGGGTATATGTATGATTTTCATTTGCTTTGAGAGGAATGGAACAACCAAAATGATTCACTTAGATCTAGCATGCCTTGAGCAATAAAAGGATTAATAGCATGCTCTTTTCATATTGTCCTTTTCTTGTTTATATTTTGCTATGTGAAGAAAGTACTTGCAGTGGCAGAATATCCACTGAAATACCTGCTGCCAAGTGGATGAATAGCAGATTTCCTCCTAGTTCTATATAATAGGCGGATATTTCCTTCCTCAGTTCAGTAAGTAAAGAAATGAAACAAGGGAAGAGTTTCGCTTGGCTTTTGGTGTAGCAGTTCTCCAGATGTGCGCTTTGCTTATGGTGGTGCCGGCGAAGCTCCGACTAGTTATGTTACAGCACTATTCTAATCTAAAGACATGAGGTCAACTTAGGTCTTCATCCCCTCTGATAAGTAGCTATCCTTATAACGAGCCAAGGAATAGAATGGATCGGTAGGAATGAACAGTTGATTAAATGTTGCTATTTTTGTTTCGGGAAAAATATAAGCCATGGTCATCCATGCTAGAACCTGGCTTGACAAGTGAAAGTACAGTGATCATACTTGAGAAAAGTAATAGCATACAGAGATTTTTTTTTATTGCTTTATTTTTTCATGTAATACTATATTTTTAGGGAGAATGGAACATGGTTTGAGTCACCAAATACGTTTCTAATTGACCCTTCAATGTTAAGTGAAGTTCATAATTCCCAATATAGTTTTGGTTATTTTTCGTCTACTTATGTATTTGGAATTTATTTTTGAGATTTGCTAATGAATTTTATGGTTTGATTCTCAATTCCCTACTTGCATTTTCACTAGGGTACTATTAAACTATTGAAGTTTTAATTTTTAAATGTTAAAATACTAACTTTTCTTCTTATAGAACAGTATGGATATATATTTCAATAATTCAGATGTATTCTAGTCATCCATTTTGTTAATACTCTTTTGTTTAACTCCTTGTGATATCAATTTTCAGAAGTTTAGACTATATTTGAAGAGATTAAATGGGGTTGCTCAACAAGGTGGGATGTCTAATACATTCTGCGGACCTTTGGACTCAAATGGAAAACTTAATCCACTTGGAAGATTTGACATCCAAGCTTTGGCTGCCTCTGGCCAGATTCCTCCACAAACTTTAGCAGCACTGCATGCTGAGCTTTTTGGTCGTCCTGCAGGTGGTCTGGTTACAACAGTGGACCAACCAGCACTTTTACAAGCATCCATGCAAACTCCAAAATGTATTCCTGCTGAACATGGTGTGCCATTTCGTCAGCCCAACATTTCCAAACATTTTCCACAGAATGTGATCTCTGTTGAGGAAGTTGCTTCAGGGTTTGGAGCCTGGCCCTCTAATAGTGTTGGTACAGCAGGACCCAGTAGCAATCTTGGAGGGATGAACAGTCAAAATGGTACCATGTTGATGGACATATTGCAGCAGCAGCAGCAGCAGCAATCACAGCAACAGTCATCATTACCAGAGCCCAGCCGTTCAATTAACGTGCAGCCATCTTGCCTTGTGGTCCCTGCCCAACCATCGGCTGCTTTTCAGGCAGGAAATAGTTCTGCTTCAGTCAATCAGAATTGCAGCTATAACAGGAATGCTATGATTGATTACAGTCTCCTGTCACCTCAATCAAATAATTCCTCATTGAATATTGGACAAATATCAAATGGGGACCTCAAAACCACAGGTGTAAGTGTGTACTCAGGCTCAGGTTCCATATCTCCTTTGTCATCATGCTCTGTAAAACCTGACAACACCTCTCAGCAAGGTCGAAGCTCAACCATGACAATTCGAGCTGTAAGACAATTACCAGGACTTGGTCCAAATAGCTCTAGCTTCCAGGGTTCTTATGGTGCTAAGTCTAGTGAAGTGCTTGATCAAGGACCTCTTAGGAATCTTGGATTCGTTGGTAAATGTACCAGCATTCCAAGCCGGTTGGCTGTGGATGAATTTGAATCAATGATGAGCAACTTAGACCATGAAAAATTCTATATGGAGACCAATGGTAATAAAGTGAAGCAGGAGCCGAATATTGAATTTATGGATAATTCCAGAGTTGGCATCCCAATGTTTCAACCATTGCCCCCGGTGTCAAGTGATCTCATGAGTGTTTTCACAGAATAGGTAACTTGGCTACTTGGATTTGACATAAATTTGGTTCTCTCTTTTGCCTGTATATAGGAGTTTCAATATGCTGGTGTTGCTGATAACAATCTTGGATTGGGGATTTTATTTCAATTTAGTCTAGTCTAAATATACAATTTGGCTAGCTTCATAGTTTCTCATGTGTTTAGGATCACATCTGGCCTTTTCTGTGGAGCTAGCAATCTCACTTCATTAACTGGTTTGGCTGCAAGACTAAATTTTAATTTGTTTTGCTGGCATTTTTGCATGTCACACTCTTCCCTTTCAGTCATTTAATAGTATGTCACTAAATTATTCAAGATAGCTATATAAATTAGGAACACGTTTGTTTTGGATAATTACGTATTTGGTCTAGCTACTCTGAAGTTAATGTTTTTTTTAAGAGGACCATGCATCTTATTACTATTCTATGTTTTGGTTTAGGCTAGTTATCTCATTCAGTAAGAAACTTGATGCTCCTGTGCCAGTAAATTTCATTCCCACAAGAGACATTTTATGTGGTGGGCATAATAGACTTGGCATTTGTAGATGCTTTTTTTGCTTTCGCTGTTACTGATACTCTATTTTGCTTTTACCGTTTCTTATTGTGATATGGTTGTAACTTTCCATGAGGACTGCATGTATGGTCTTTCATAGGTTGGTTCTCTAATCTAATTTCAATTAACTGCAGGTTTGCATATGAGGTTCCACTGGTAGAATGGATTTGTTTCATATCACCAAATGTTCAGAAGGCATTCAGATCTTAATTTCCAGGGGTAGTGCAGATTTGTTTCGCATCACAAGAATCTAGTTGAAGTCTGGGTATGATTTATTGTATACTTCTTTTTCCACGGGTGTCGCATGGTGGAGCCTCCTCAGTATCTGTGGCTTGGCGGATTTCTTGTTTCTTGAAATGCCATTGAAATGCTGGGGGTGAAGTTGTAGATGCACAAAGTGCTAGTATTATTGTAGATGCAGTATTATCTTTTAATTAGTCTATAGGGATAATAAGATTGTACCAGATCCCAACAGCTTGAAATGTTGTCCATCGTGGTGATGTCTTGCCATCATAGTTATGTAGTTATGTGGTTTAATGATGATGATGATCATCATTTTTTTTAATCATGCTACGATGGCAAAAAATGGTAGATTAATATCTTTGATCACGTGCTGAGAGTTTTTAGAGAGTGATTTAACGAATTTGATTACAAGTGGTTAAGCTTCGAAGTCTGACTGGTGTCACAGATTTAGTCTTTCCCAGGCTTTCGTGTGGCATTTGGCTTACTTTTGGTTGAAGCTGAATCAAATTAGTCTATCTCTCACGTTAAGTTGTAAAATAAGTAAAATAAGGAAGATAAACACATGAGATAATAGATAAACTTTTTGTATTGTTTTTGAAAGCTTAAAACTCTAGTTTATAGTTTTAGAGATTTTTTTCCCATGAGATTAGATCGTTTGGTCAACCCTAGTTTATATTATTTGAGATTTTTTTTCCTCCTCTTCTGGGATTAGATGATTTAGTCAAATGAAGGTCTCATTTATCTATATGTATAGTTATTCACTTTCTTGATGGATGGATAATTCATTTTTTAGAATGCTTCTATCTAGATGTTTATAAAGAACTATCTACATATAGATATAAGAGACTCTAAAATTCTTTAGAACGTGACTAGATTTCTCTTGGACAATTTAAATGCTTCTTTTATGCTCCGTAGTTTTTCAAATTTATCTAGCATTCTTAATTAATCTCCGGAAACGTCTTTCATGCATGACACAACATTCTACTTGAATAACCCAAAGTTTTCTTATTTTTTATTTTTTATTTTTTATTTTTTATTTATGTTTTTGTTTTTAATTTGAAGTTTATTAAGGAAAAAGAAAAAAAAAGAAAGAAAATGATGAAAAAAAAATTCATTTAGGGATATAATTGAAGTAATTAGGGGTTTAATCGAATCAATTAAAAAGTTTAGGTCTTAAATTGCACCTCTATGGACCTAATTGTTTAGATTGTATTGAAATTATTTCGCAGAAGGGCATAATTGCTGAAATTGAAACGTGAGGATCAAGCTGGAAGTTTGGAGCGAATGACGAGGATCGAAATGGAGAAAACGACATGTCGTTCGCTCCAAGGCGATTCTCTTCGAAAATCTTTGGGAGAATCGCCCAAATCCTCCATGAATTTCTTGTTTTTGATTATGTATCAATCATGGATTTTGTTGCCAAAACCAACGCTAACGAGGAATTAATGAGAATTTCATGTTTTGATTTCACAATTAATTATGAATTAAAGAGGAAAATTTTTGACGGAAAATTCGGGGATTTCAATTCAATTTTAGAAAATGTTTTGGCTATAAAACGTTTAAATTTCACAAAAAGAAAAAAAAGGATTTAGCGTGAAATTCTAGTTAAAAGAGAGTAAAAATCGAAAGCAAACGGGTTGATTTTTTTATTTTTAGCCACTATGTTTCGGGTTTTTACGGGTTGGTGTTCTTAGTGTTCTTCATTACGGGTTTATGTTCTTCATTTTTGGTCGATTGAAAGGGATTATTCGAGGTTCGTTTTGAGAGATATGATTATTCTTTTGAATACTAAAACAAGAAATCGAGGGCCAACGATCGAAAAAAAGCACGAAATCTTAGTTTTGAGTCTATCGGTTCCTCTGTTCTTCCGGGTTCGCTTGGTGTTCTTCAATCCCGATTTTCGGGTAAGTTTCCTGTTGTTTGATCATTCCCGACTAATTTTGTCATACGTTCGTTATCGTTAGTTATTCATCTTGTATTTCGTTTGCAATTTGGTTGGTTAGATTGCATAATTGAGTCTTTTGATTTTCCGGGGAAATTTAAAACACCAAGAGGAAGTTAGAACATGATGAACAAGAGAGAGAAGTGTTTGAATCCCGAGAAAATGTGGACTTTGATCCGAAAAATAGAAAAGAGAAAGAGGGATATTTGTTAGCGGGCTAGGAACTTGAAAAAAAAAAAAAGGGCTAGAAGTAGCAGTCCGACCCATCTTTTTATTTAAAAAAACAAAAAAGAGAAGCAAGGGCAATCCGACCCATTCGCACAAAAAAAAGGGGTCAGGCTGATTTTAGCTCGACCCGCACCCTTTCTCCAAAAAAAATAAGAGAGGCCTAGCTCGATGCTAAAAAAAAAAAAAAAGAGTAAAAGTGATAGGTTAATATTTTAGATATAGATTTTTTTTTTAATTATTACTTTTATCGTCCGTTATTTTTTTACCCGCTTACATAGGATGATTTTTTGTATTATTTTGCATTTAATTTTTATTTTTTTCATTTAATTTTTAGCCTATTTATTTTACTTCTTGTAGTTTTTCTTTATTAATTTAGAACTTTTATTTCATTTTTTTTTAATATGTATTGCTAGAAAATTATATATATATATATATATATATATATATATATATATATATAATTTTGACGAAGTCTCCTATCTAATAGGGACCGACGTCGCAAAAAAAAACAAAAAAATGGCGAAGTCTCTTATTTGATAGGGATTGACGCCATACAAAAACAAATCACCTTTTAATCAAGACGTCCTCCGACACGCCGGTTGTGTCAAGGCTTTTAGTGGATCCGATGTTTGAATCGACGTGTCACCCAACGAAGGGGATCAACGATCGTTTCAATACGATGCCACGCCCAAAACTAAAAAAATTATTTAGGTTAAAAGATAGGAGATTAAAATTTAGAAGATAGCTTGACATGATTTTACGAGATAGTTTAGAACTAAACCGTACATGGTACCTTTTTTCGAAAAGGACGTTTTTAGGTGATTTAATATTTTCTTAAAATCGTAACCAACTCCTTACCTTAGGAATCTCCGAACCGAGTGCTACTTTTAGGTTCCTAGTTCCTTAAATACTAGATGGCGACTCCAAAACTCGTAAATAATTTTGTAAATAATTAATTAACGCCCGAACTCTTAATTTTTCTTTTGGGGGGTCTCTTCCGACGTCGTGCGGCAACACTACCCTACCTAATTTGACGACGTTCTCGATATGTTTTCATTATACTATTTGACCTTTCATGTGAATTGCTACAAGGCTTCCTGCAGGTTTTCAACTAATCTCATTTTTTTTATAAGCCTTTACATTTAATATAGTACTCCTTTCTTAGTGGCACCACACAACGTCGGATCGTGTGGTGTTATCAACTTCTTTGCTATATGAGTCAAACATAGCTATAGACATCCTATAAGAAACTCATCGGCTTGGATCCTCTTCATCCGTATGATGTGGCTTCCGCATACTAAAATCGTACATCGGATGGATCTTCGGTTTCGACGACAATTCTATGTAATAGGACACCTCGCCCATTTATGCATTATTTTGAATAGTCCTTTATATTGACGTATGAGGTCTTTATGTTGCTTTCGAAAAGCTTTATGCTGATGTGGTAGCAACTTATACATTACCTTATTATGTAGTTGGAAGGTGACGTCTCTTTGTTTTTTATCAACCTATTTTTTTTTCTTAGCATCCTTGTTCAAATACATTCAAGTTAGGTTTATCTCGCTCTTGCCATCTCTTGACCAACGAACATGTACTAAGATTGCTTCTTTTATATTTATCACCAAACACCATCTTATACGGAGTGAGAGGGTATTGGCCTATCATGATCTCAAATGAACTTTTGTCGATAAACTCATTGTTTTACAAATTGTAACGGAACCGAGCAACATCCAACGAACTTAACTCAATCTTGCTGGTTAACACTCACAAAGTGCCTTAAATATATTTCTAAAAAGTCTAACCCTCTTTGTCCGAGGGTGGAAACGTATAGAGTAATGCAACTTTGAGCCTAACAACTCAAAAAGTTCAATCACAACTTTCTAATTAAATGAGGATCTTGATCGCTAAAGATATGTCACGACACACCTCAATACTTCACCACATGCTTGAAGGGTAGTTTAAAGATGTTCTTTGCAATCACATCTACTAGAGCTAGTATGAATGTAGCATACTTGGAGAATTTATTTACG